TATTGTAAACACATACATGCTATCAGTAAAACTGTGTTGTCTTGTAAAACCACAACGTAAAAGTTAGTCTGCAAATGCAAAACAATGTGTTTTTAATTGTTGAGAAATTAAAGTCCACACCCCTTATTCCTCAAATTGGTACGGTCGGTCCACACACGCTGTTTCCAACGGGTGGGGCTGCCGGCTCTCCCCCGCTCTTCACAGCAGCCGCAGGCTCACAGGAGGCGGGAATGAAAAAGCCAGCAGTTTCCAGCAGTAAGTCATTTATCACACCGCTTGTTCTACAAACTTAAATATGTATGTCAAATGTGGTCATATATGTCGAACATAGACACCGATTACTGGGCGATATCTTTAGATTTTGATCAATTCATGTTCTCTGGTTATTCCAGGATTATTCCACTATTATTCTTCCATTCACTAAGGTGACCAAAAGTTATTTTCCTCGGACACGTACGCTTTCACGGTCTGCCCCTGGAATCTGCGGAGCATTTATAGATCGATGAAAATGACCGCGTTTCATCCTATTTAGCAGATGAATATGGGTAGTAGGGTATCAAAACTAAATCTGTGTGTGTGTGTTGCTGTCCAACTGTCAGCAGACCAGGTCAGTTGAAATGGCAGGGAAACGAAAAACGGCAGACATCAGGTCGTTTTTTAATGCTCCAAAACGTCAAGTAAGTAGAAACTTGCATTTAAACATAAAGACATCTATAAACAAGGAAAGAAATGCCTATGAAATCGTTTCAAAATGGTTTCATTAGGCAAAGTCCAGTCACTTGAGCACAGGCAGCCAGAGCCTGTCAGACACAGGCACAGAGTCTCAGGTCAGTCTCTTATTAGGGCATACAGTGTTGTAAAGAACACACCTTTGTTGTTGTGTTTAATTGTGCTTTGGGTTATTCTGAATATTAGAAACATTTCTTTCTATTGTAGGAGTCAGACTGCTCAGAGTCAGGGAAAGTGGTTGAAGGGCGAGACAGAGAGCTTGAGACTTCACAAGATAGCGAGGACAGAGATGCAGCGGTCAGCAGCAGCACCAGCACAGGGACAGTGGAGGATGACACAACGGGTCACGATGACTTTACTGCCAGCACAAGCAATGATACAGGACAGCTGGATGCATGCTTTAGTTCAGATCTTAGTGACTGCACAAAACCATACCAACCACCATCTCAGTGTATAGAAACACAAATTCTTTCGAAAAAGACATTGACTTTCCAGCAGAAATGGTTTCATGATTTTCCATGGCTACACTACAGCACGTCAGTGAGAGGAGTCTTGTGTTTTTACTGCAGCAAAGGGTTCTCACACCAGTCCTCCTTTGGACAAAGAGCTGATGTTGCTTTCATTAGTTCAGGCTTCAGAAATTGGAAAAAAGCCATTGCAAAATTCACAGTGCACCAAAATTCTCAAGCCCACTGCCACTATGTCAGTGTGAGTGCACATCAGTCGAATCCCATCAGTGCTCAGTTGTCCAGCACTTGGAGTAAACAACAGGAGGTGGCTAGGCATTGCTTTAGGAAAATTGTTAGTTCTGTGCGTCTTGTGGCAAGACAGGGATAAGCCATGAGAGGCCACACAGATGACAGTGGAAATCTGCATCAGCTCTTAAAACTCAGGGCAGAAGAAGATGATCCCATTTTGTTAAAGTGGTTAACAGATCGTAAAACCATGTACACAAGCCCCAAATTGCAGAATGAAATTTTGAACATCATGGCCAATACAGTAATCCGTGGAATTACAGCGGAAATCCAGGCACTTCCCATTTTGCAGTTTTCTGTAATTATTGATGGTACTCAGGATGTTACTGGTGCAGAACAGGAGAGTGTCTGTCTGCGCTATGTGGACCATGACCTTGTCCCACATGAAGAGTTTGTTGGACTGTATAGGGTTTCTGATACAACAGGCCAGGGAATCGCAAAGGTGGCAGCTGATGTTCTGTTAAGACTTAATCTGCCACTGTCAGGTTTACGTGGACAGACCTATGATGGCGCTGCAAACATGGCAGAAAAGTACACAGGTGCACAGGCAATACTGAGGAGGCAGCAGCCATTAGCCCTGTATGTACACTGTGGTGCACACTGTGTTAATTTGATAACACAAGCTGGCTGCTTTGCCAGCCTACTGATCCGTGACTGCCTTTCTTGGGTGCACCAGCTGGGCATAATTTTTGGACAGTCAGGAAAGTTCAGGAGCATATTTGAAAATATTGCTATTTGTGAACATGTTCCTCTCATCACCTTGAAACCACTTTGCCCAACAAGGTGGACTGTTCGAAATTCTGCAATAATAGCTGTGCTACAGCAGTATAAGAGAGTACTCGACAGCCTAGAGGAGATGGCCAAAAGCACCAGTGGCTTATTTCAGCACTTTACCAA